ACATGTGGGGGATGAATTACTATATGGGGGCATGAAAGTACTTTGGGGGATGAATTACTAGGTATGGGGGTGAATTACTATAAGGGGGATGAATTACTATTGGGGGATTTGAATTACAAGGGGGATGAATTACTAGTATGGGGGATGAATTATTATGGGGGATGAATTACTATATGGGGGATGTATTTTCAGTTTTAAAAATGTGGCTCTCAAAATAAATTTCAATCATGGTTTTGGCGAGATTTGGCAGTCAGTTGAAAAAAAAGGTGCCCACCACTGGTCTAGGCCATGCCCCTGTTCCCTTCCTTATAGAATGCATGAAGGCAAAAAACCTTGAGCCTTTACAACTACTTTAAGCAAAGATAAAATGACACATAATGCACTCACATGCTCCCGGCATGACACCAAACACATCACAAAGCTGTGAGAATCCAACTTCAGAACCCCTGTATGGATCCCACTAGAATCCACTTGGCTAAAGACTCCTCTCCCCATGTCTGTGTGTTAGGAAGGAAAGAGAAGAGCAGGGAGCCAGCCGCAATAGTGGTTTGTGTATGACAGCTACTGGGATTATGGAGGACTGGCAATCATTCAGTTGACTGGCATGCAACCAAAGAAGGCTGTGCCGGTGGGCATATGTTTGAGGTCATGGGCCACACCAGGCAGCTTTGTGGGCCACGGTTTGAGTATGCCTGATCTAAGACATTCCTCCCCAACTTACAGAACCAAGGAGGTTTAGTTTGTTTTCTGGTGACCAAATTTCTGCATAGTTTCCCAGTGAGGCAACAAAGTCACAGAAATGGGTAAATTACCTCTGTAGCGATCCTTTAGGATCAGTGGTGTGAGGGACCAGTAAGTAGGGAGGCTTAGGAGGCAGGAGAAGGTAGTATTTAAACTAAACTTGGCCACCTACAGTACATGTATGAATCAGCTGATCATCACTTTAGATGACCTTTTCCAGGTTTGTGGAGGGTTTACTTAATGCTGATCACCTAAAAAAAACAAAAAATATTTTTGCCTATGCCACATTTTGTTGCTATTGGTCAGAAGTATGACATGTTCTTCAACCCATTCAATACCAGCATATTTCTTCATTTTCAAAAAAAAAAGTGGCAAAAAGTAGTTTTTGAATTCACAAGGTATTTAGGTGTCTTTCAAAAAGGGATTTTTCATACAATCCTGGCATTTTAATTTGATATGATTTACAAGGAAAGTAATGGAAACAGGTTTTTTTTCAGTTATATTATTTAAAAGAAACAATGGTTATTAAAGGCCGCAAAACAAAGAGCTATCTGTCCCCAACAGTTCTATAAAATTCACTTGGGCAGAGTGATGGATGACCAAGTAATTGTCAGTCAAACTGTCACAGCACTGAACAGTAAAAAAATGGCCTGGTAATGAGGGGGTAAAAGAGAAATGAGATGCTTAAAAATATAATATTTTCAATGAAAAATAAATAGTGGAATTTAAACCTATGTAATGAAAAACATCATAACATATTATACAAAGCTGATTTATTTTCTCATTTTTAACCTGCAAAGAGCATCAAAAACTTTAAAGAGACACACTGACAGCATGTGCAGCATTACTGTCTATATAGACATGAGGATGGTGAAATATGATAGTCTTTGAAGTGAGTGGAGGGAAAAATGAATTTGCCCTGAAACTAAGTAGACAAACTATATTACTTTGTCAAAAACATGCATCACAAGAATATCTAGTGCTGAAGAATTCTACAGATGCTGGAACAACAAAGTCAAAGGGCTGAGTGTATTAAATCCAGAGGAAAGGATAAAAAGGAAGGTGTTGGCTACTGTAACTTTTTAAATATTATTCTTGAAAAAAACAAGATGACTTTTATTACAGTGTTACCCTGGCTGGTTTACAGTCTTGGAATTACTCTACAGCCTGAAGTCAGATCCATTGGAGTTAGACGATTTTAGCCTGTATTGATGATCACAACAGAATCTCGAAGAAAATCCATACTGTGAAATGCTTCTGCATGGCTGTCATACTGATCCTCTGACTCCTGGTTTGCATGCTTGTTCCAGGCCAGTGGTTTAAATAAAGATTATTAGAGCAGCTGGATCAGCATGATGGCCAATCAGCCAGCATTTTCAGAAGGAGAGGCCAGCCTCCATGTTCTTCTAGAGAAGCTAGGTCCTCTAAAAATTTTACGAACTTTCTTTTATATATGTGTATATTTACATGTTTTATGATTATTGGTCCTGAAAGCTTAACTACAGGTACATGTACCAAAAGTTATGAGTTAATTTAAAAAAATTACTTTACCCAATTTTGACTTGATATCAACCTCCGGCCCCCCTAAGTACTTTGGGCCAATCAGGCTGTGCTGCAGTGCATATAAGCTTTCAAGGAAAGTTTTGGTAACTGAGTGAACAGAAGGAAGACTCATAATTTTGCTACTGTTGCTCCTTTACTTTCCAGCCAGATGCTAGATTGGTCCCCTTAGACTCACTGAGATGATATGGATACCCCCTGAGTGCAAATATTATCCTAACTGGTACCACCCAGTAGCCCATTCCTCAGGCCCTACAGTAATGGGTCCCTATAGCAGCTTCACCTAGCACCTGTAATTTTCCAGAAGATGTTCCCATCTTGAAGTTAGGAAAATGAAAAGCTCACACAAAACAAGCCTTTTAATATTCTACTGAAACACAATTGGTTTACATCTTTCCAGCCATCCCAATGACGACAAGACATTCCTTAAGCTGGCCATAGATGGATCAAATCTCAGCTGGTTCAACAAGGACCAGTTGAGAGACTTGATCCATCTATGGGCAGGCTAATTGCACCCAAGTTGATCCAGCAATCGTCTTTGGTACAACCAGCCTGTCAGATTTTTAGCATGCAATTACCGCCTACTGCTATAGCCACTAGCAGTAATGAGTGTGCACTCCCGACCAGTAAGGCTCCCCACACAATAGCTCTGCTGGAGGCATTCCCTCATCAGCACTGACTGTATTGATGGGGAAATCAAACTATTTTCTTTTGTTCCACCCATGGTGGAACAAAAAAAAATCAATTAATCTATGGCTTGCCTTAGGTGCAGACAGGGGACATGAGAGATGAGAGCCAAGTTGAGGAGCAGCCCTTACCTTTAGGGTTTGTCAGAGGCCTACATTCCATACCAAGTATGTGAGCAGTCCAATTAGTCTTGAACCTCTTCTTCATGGATGCCTTTCTAAAGAAAGCCCCCAGAGGCTACAGTCTCAAAGATTACATTTTTTGCAAGCCTTAGTCCTTGCACTGATTCCCACGACCTATTCCACTCGGTGAACTCCCGCCAGACTATTTATACAGAGCCCTCTACCCAAGATGCCTGACAGTGGCAGGGGCAGGGCTGGCACTACCTGAGATCAATCCCACGCACTACTCTAGGGACCTCTAGTGGCTACCTAGGCACTCACATTGCCTACTTTTTAATACAGAGTTCCAAACCCACACTATGGTGAAGTCTAGTGGCTAATTTGAGGAACTACATTGGGAACCTCTGTGCTGCTACCCTACAGAGGCAGGGAAAGTGTGTAAAGCAGAAAAAATGCAAATAAACATACAAAACAAGTTGTAAAAGGGGAGGAAAGGTTTTATTTTCTGAGTGAAGGTGTCTTTTAACTACAATACAGAAAAGGAACTACATTGGGGAACTACATTTGGCACCTCTGTGCTGCTACCCTACAGAGGCAGGGAAAGGGTGTAATGCAGAAAAAATGCAAATAAACATACAAAACAAGTTGTAAAAGGGGAGGAAAGGTTTTATTTTCTGAGTGAAGGTGTCTTTTAACTACAATACAGAAAAGTTAGGTCCCCAAACTGGCTCTGAATATCTGTTAGGGCTGTGTCTATCTAAGAACTGGATAGACAGAAATATAAATACTATAGCAGTAAAAAAAAAAAAAGTTTCCATAAATATTTTTTATTTGTGCATTTAGCTTTTGCCTGGAGTTCAGCTTTTATCATCCTAGGTGACAATAAAATGCACATACTTTCCTTTCATCATGTATTTAAAAAGCAACAACTAATGCTGTGATGGTGCTGCCAAGGCAGACTTTTTTAATCCTATACATCCATGAATATTGTATTGCTCATCAGGTTATTCATATAATGTTAGTCCAGCAAACCTTTGTGTATGGCGGTGCACAAACACTTGTTTAAAGCATGTGCTGTGCATATGAAAACCGACAATTATGTTTTAAGCTACACAATCATCCGTAATGATAGTTTTTCTGAGAATAAACACCACTTTTCAAGAAAATCACAATCAGCTGGGGGTGTCAGCAGGTTAGAGTTATTGGAAGACATGTTTTAGCTAGAAATCAAAGTGTGCTTTTCATGTGTAATCTGGACTGGGTAATTCACTGCAAGATATGTCTGAAAACATGACATTACAGGAGATCTGTAATGAGCTGTTTAGCTAATCGCTGAGCCTTGTACCAGTCCCCGTATGTTCAGTGGTGCTCTATGCTGTCAGCCCGTTCTGCCAAAACGAAACAAGAAAATGTGAGATGAAAAGAAAACAATCAAGCGTTATGGGCATACAAGGTTATTGATTTTCTTTCTTTTTCTTCTTTTACTAGCAATGAAATCTGGAGGTACCCAGCTCAAACTTATCATGACTTTCCAAAATTATGGGCAAGCCTTGTTCAAACCTATGAAGTAAGTCACTTTCATTTTTTTATTACTATTTTAACTTGTTTTATATGTTTCACTACTGGGAAAGAGTACAGATTTCTATTTCAGAGATATTTACAGCAGAATTGTAGGTACTGCTGATTCATCGTAGTCAATTAAAAAAAAATATATATATATATATCTGCATCATTTAGAGTGCAGAAGTGGAAGCACTGTTAGTCAGTCATGCTCAGTCCTGGCTTAGACTGACAAAGCATTGTAGTGTCAGTCTAAACCAGGAAGCTTGCTGACAAGAGGCGAGAACACATGGATGACCACATCTACTATGTAATCAGGGACGAACTGACCATTCAGGCTCTCGGGCACTGCCCGAGGGCCCGGGGTCAGTAGGGCGCCCGATGAGATGCCCCTAGTACCTTTAATATGCTTTTTTGGGTGTGGTTTGAGTGTGAGCGAGGACAAAAGGGCCCCATGATTTGCTATTGCACAGGGGCCCCATGAGTTGTCAGTCCGCCCCTGTATGTAATCATAGGATGGAGTGGCCCTTGACCAAGCTATATTGCTATAACTTATGTGAACAAATATCAGGTCAGGAGTTCTGCCATGCTGCCTAAAAAGAGCACCTAAGCTCTAATTCTAAATAAACAAAGTTACAATTTTTTTGGCAAGTAAAACATTTCAAACATAAGCATTTCTGTTGTGAATTTAGTCACATGCCTAAAATTCTGTTTTCAAGAGGGGGGTGCCATTGTGCACATAATGTAGTAAATTGGAAGGTTTTCTATCTCTCACAGCTGCCATGTTGATGTCCCATCTGGATCCTCTCATGTTCGGACATAAATAGACATCACAGTAACTAAATATCTGAATGAGAAGGCAGTAATCTGGGAGTCACCAGAAGGTGGCACTGTCACTAAAATTTGAGATCCTATTGATTTGATGAAATCTGGAAAATTGTGGAAAGAGGAGACTCCAACCATGCTAAATGCCAACAACCATTTGGGTTCATGCAATATAATTTTTTGTTTTTCATTTCATACTGGAACCTATTTTAACAGCATTTCTTAATCTGAGTTCTGTAGAACCCTATGGATACAAGGGGGTTCTTGAACAATTTCTGACTTTTAGATCAGTAAGCACTGACACAAATTATCCTTTTCACTGTATCTGTAAGGGGATATTCTTCCCGCTGACCACCAATGTAAGGGACATTCTTTCCAATGATTATCAATGTAAAAAGCATTATTCTACTGAGTAATAGTATAAGAGGTTCCTTTCTCCCCACTGACCACCAGTATAAGAGGTCCTTTCTCCCACTGACCACCAGTATAAGAGGTCCTTTCTCCCACTGACCACCAGTGTAAGAGGTCCTTTCTCCCACTGGCCCCACTGACCACCAGTGTAAGAGGTCTTTTCTCCCACTCACCACCAGTGTAAGAGGTCCTTTCTCCCACTGACCCCACTGACCACCAGTGTAAGAGGTCCTTTCTCCCACTGACCCCACTGACCACCAGTGTAAGAGGTCCTTTCTCCCACTGACCACAAGTGTAAGAGGTCCTTTTTTCCACTGACCACCAACGTAAGAGGTATTTTCTCCCACTGACCACCAGTGTAAAGGGGCACTTTTCCCAATGACCGCAAATCTAAGGGGGTACTTCATCTGCTGTCTACCAATCAAAGGGAGTTATTTTCCCACTGACCAGCAGTCTAAGGAGGCCTGTCTACATTGACTATCAATTAAAGCAGGCATTTCACTGATCACAAGTGTAAGGGGGCTATTGCCTACTAATCTCCAATTTGATAGAACACCACACATTTTCCTGTCTGAATTTACTTTTAAATTCAAAATGATTTAATTATCACTTAAAATAATGTTGTGGTATAAAGAGCCCTGTTGACAAGTATGGCATGCTCACCACAATTTTTTGTATTCTTTTATTGATTTTTTTTTCTTTTATCTTGTATTTATTTTTTTTATCTCAACTTACTGTTCAAATTTATGGACCGTGAGCTGTAGATATAGCAAATATTGGCAGTGGTTCTCTAAGACCTGAAGGATATTTCAAGGATTCTTTGATGTTAGAAAGGTTGAGAAAGGCTGGTGTGACTTGTGTAATACAATTAGGCTGTGTGTAAGGTGTGTACTGTATTTGGCATGCAAAGTAGTAGGTAAAGGTATATAAAGGTATATTAGAATTATAATTGCTGAGATAACATTTGTGCTTGTTATGGACGATTGAAAACATTATAGTCTAGTTAGAGTTGCAGTGGTAATATTTATTAGGTATTGTATTAAGATTTTGCAATTCCTGAAAGCACTATACTGAATATAATTTTCATTGTGTGAACTCACAAAGATGCACTACAGGATCTTTCCCCATTGTTCATGCATCAGTGCTATCAATCTGTGTTGACCTCTGTGTTAGCCTGGCAAGTTAGGGCTCGTTCACACTTGACTAATTTTCTAAGTCTTGCCAAACGCCCCTATAGTGTTTGACAGGCGCTAGACAGGCGTTTGGGAAGCGTTTTTAATGCTTCTAAAACGCCCCCCAAATGCCCTATGCCTGTTTTTGAGGCATTTGATAGGCATTTGCCAAGCGTTAAAACCGCACCACAAACACCTATAATGAAGTTCCATGGTATTAACGCTCTGCAAACGCCTTGCAAATGCCTACCATAGACTTGAATGGGAGGCTTCAACTCCTCCTAACTGGACAAAGCATTACCATAGGCTTGAATGGGAGGCTTCAACTCCTCCTGACTGGACAAAGCATTGCCAGACTTGAATGGGAGGCTTCATCCTGACTGGACAAAGGATTGCCATAGACTTGAATGGGAGGCTTCAACTCCTCCTGACTGGACAAAGCATTGCCATAGACTTGAATGGGAGGCTTCAACTCCTCCTGACTGGACAAAGCATTGCCATAGACTTGAATGGGAGGCTTCAACTCCTCCTGACTGGACAAAGCATTGCATAGACTTGAATGGGAGGCTTCAACTCCTCCTGACTGGACATGAGGCGTCAATTTTGCTAGAATGCAATGCTAACGCTTCAGTGTGAACAGCACTGTGTGCTGCCATGTGCAGAATTTTCATAGGCGCTTGAGGAGCATTAAAAATGCTTCCCAAATACCTGTCTAACGCCTGCTAACAATGCTAGTGTGAACTTAGCCTTAGATTGACAGAAGCTCTAAAAGGGAGTATTATAGCAATACAGTGTGTTGTCAGCGGGTGAGTATTTACTCACCAGCTGGAATATTTGGATGAAAATATTATTGAAAATGTTTTACCTTCATAATATCCTCAGTCGCAATGTCACTGGGTAATGTTCAAACCAGGTCTTCAGACTCAATTGCTGTGGCTGTGTGTGGAAAGCCTGGCAGCAATCACATGACCAAAGACATAATGACTTGAAAAAGGTACTTAAGGAAGGCTTTATAAAGCTTTTTGTATGTGAAATGCTTACTTTAGAGATGCAGTATATAATAGTCATGTAGAAAAGGGCTGTGTCCCATCTACTTTAAAGTGGAATGGCAAACAGCTAAATACACAGATGGATTACATATAATGTCATTGTTTTGCTTGTCAAAGGATTTGTACTTACACTGCTGGTATTTAAAAAAATACATTTCAGGATGCTTTAATGAATACAGACCTGAGCTCATTCATTATGTCTTTATATCTGTCTGGTGTTCAGCTTTAAAGTGGAGCTGAAATTTGAAGATAAAGACTCCCCACCCTCTTTATCACTTAAGTGAGTAACAAAAAACAGACTACAGATCAAATGATCCATTCCAGAAGTCAGCAGATCTGAAGCTCCAGTGTTGTTTTTATTGATTACACTCAGCTACATGTAGGCAGGTGCAGTCTACATTCTCCACTACAGGTGGCGCTCCACCTTAATGGCAATACAGAAACTGGGTTTCTCTATGATTGCCTGGGCCTTCTGATTGGCTTTGCTGCATCATGGTTACCATGGCAGCTATCTTGAGTCATGCAGAGTCTTTTTTTTTAAGTTCCTGCCCCCCGTGTTTTGTCATGCAATTGCGAGTTGGCTAGTGTAAGGACAGCATACTCATCTGCACTGGCGGCAGGAAGAGTTTCCAGAGGAGGAATAAAGGCTTAGGACCTACGTCTACATCTGAAAAAGCTCCCTTTGGGTTGGACCGGCCAGGCTGCACTCCGCTCCCCTTGACAGGCACTGTCTCCAGCTTGGGCCTGTTCACCTCTGACTCTTCACTCTGACTGTTGTGAGTTTCGTGGTCTGGTGTGCTCCCCTCCGGGTTGTTGTACTGTTTTGCAAGTTCTACAATACATCGCTTTTTGCAATCCGAGATTCTGTGTGTTCACTGCAGCCGCACCATGCTACACCCACTACATATGAGCTAATCAGCTGCATTGATGGTTCAACATGCATCAATTAACGAAGTCAAACTAACGCAGGTGGAGTATTGCATTCTGTTAGCTGAGCAATGGAAATAAAACCCAAACTGTAATCCCTTGCTAATATGTAGCTTATCATTTCAGTTCTACTTAAAAAAAAAAAAAAACATTTGGGCCCCCAGGAGCCTATTGCCATAATATGCAATTATGCACAGCATATTTACACATTATAGCAAATGTACACAGCAAAGAAATCTCCCCAATGCCTGTTCTGCCCTCCATCACAGAGCTTCAATCTTCACCCAATCTTCTTCTGGGTTGGAGTCTTCACCCATGATGATTGCTGTGTTGTGCCTATGGGAGTTATATCATTCTGGCACAGAATTGTGCCGTGGCTGCACACTGGGCTAACAGGCAGGTAAAAACATTTACAACAAAGGTGACATACAGGCTCATTTTTGTCATAAAAAGGCAGGACATAAATTATGTGATTTTCTTTCCAGCAACCATGGGTTACAGGAAAGATAATCACTTGAGTTCCTCGTCAACACAGTCAGTGTTAATGGGGGAATCCCTCTTGCCAGGAGAACACAGTGAATATTGCTATACCCGCAGACAATAATCACATGTAAAAATCCGACATGCTTGTTCCCAAGTCGATCAATTGATCGACTTCGGTACAACCAGCCTGTCCATAGATTTGAATCTTAGTCAGTCCTCACTAAGCCTGCAGAGATTCAAATCATCTATGACTGACTTAAGTCTACCTGTCAGCGATTTTTGAAAGCTTAGGTTGACTTCTGCTTTAATTATTCTCAACTTAAAATATGCTTACATTAGGCCATATCCCTGTCTTCAGGGCAAACACCCCTTTGGCCAGAACAAACTGATTTGTTTTGAAATGTAGTCTTTTTCTACAAAGACCAAATACCTTTTGGCCATCAAAACTATGATTCTACAGTGCATCGAGAAAGTATTCACAGCGTTTAACTTTTGCCATATTTTGTTATGTTACAGCCTTATTCCAAAATGGATTAAATTCATTTTTTTACTGAACATTCTACAAACAATACCACACAATTGCAACGTGAAAGAAGTTTGTTTTGAAATCTTTGCAATTTATTAAAAAGAAAAAACAAAACAAAAAAAAAACGCATGTACATAAGTATTCACAGCCTTTGCATGACAAAATTGAGCTCTGGTGCATCCTGTTCCCACTGATCATCGTTGAGGTGTTTCCACAACTTGACTGGAGTCCACCTGTGGGAAATTCAGTTGATTGGACATGGTTAGGAAAGGCATAAACCTGTCTATATGAGGTCCCACAGTTAACAGTGCATGTCAGAGCGCAAAACAAGCCATGAAGTCCAAGAAATTGTCTGTAGACCTCCAAGACAGGATTGTATCAAGGCACAGATCTGGGGAAGGGTACAGAAAAATTTCTGCAGCATCGAAGGTCCCAATGAGCACAGTGCCCTCCATCATCCGTAAATGGAAGAAGTTTGGAACCATCAGGAATCTTCCTAGAGTGGGCCGTTCGGCCAAAATGAGCGATCAAGGGTGAAGCGCCTTAGCCAGGGAGGTAACCAAGAACCCGATGGTCACTCCGAAAGAGCTCCAGCAATTCTCTGTGGAGAGAGGAGAACCTTCCAGAAGAACAACCATCTCTGCAGCACTCCACCAATCAGGCCTGTATGGTAGAGTGGCCAGACGGAAGCCACTTCTCAGTAAAAAGCAAATGGCAGCTCACCTGGAGTTTGCCAAAAAGCACCTGAGGGACTCTCAGACCATGATAAACAAAACTCTCTGGTCTTATGAAACAGAGATTGAACTCTTTGGCCTGAATGCCAAGTGTCATGTCTGGAGGAAACCAGGCACAGCTCACCACCTGGCCAATACCATTCCTACAGTGAAGCATGGCGGCAGCAGCATCATGCTGTGCTGATGTGTTTCAGCAGCAGAAACTGGGAGACTAGTCAGGATCGAAGGAAAGATGAATGCAGCAATGTACAGAGACATCCTTGATGAAAACCTGTTCCAAAGCGCTCTGGACCTTAGACTGGGGCAATGGCTCATCTTCAACAGGACAACGACCCTAAGCACACAGCCCACATAACAAAGAAGTGGCTACGGGCCAACTCTGTGAATGTCCTGGAGTAGCCCAGCCAGAGACCAGACGTGAACCCGATTGAACATCTCTGGAGAGATCTGAAAATGGCCGTGCATCGACGCTCCCCATCCAACCTGATGTAGCTTGAGAGGTGCTGCAAAGAAGAATGGGAGAAATTGCCCAAAAATAGGTGTGCCAAGCTTGTAGCATCGTACTCAAAATGACTTGAGGCTGTAATTGGTGGTAAAGGTGATTCAACCAAGTATTGAGCAAAGGGAGTGAATACTTACAGTATGTATATGTTGTTTTTTTCATTTTTTATTTTTAATAAATTGCAAAGATTTCAAAATGAACTTCTTTCATGTTGTCATTATGGGATATTGCTTGTAGAATGTTGAGGAAAAAATGAATTTAACAAAACGTGGCAAAAGTTAAGCGCTGTGAATACTTTCTGGATACACTGTAGCTATGGGGATAATTGAGGACAATGAAAAGAGATATTTATACATACAGTGAGTTCCTCTATGAATACAATCTAAAGGAAGGAGATTCCCTTTGTCTAGAGTTATACCACTGTTAGTGGGGTTGGAAAAAACAGACTCCCATGTATATACAGTCTGCGACCTGCAATGCTGCAAGTTCACAGGAAGCTCATAACACATTTCTTCCTCTTGTCATTTCTCATCCCTGTACATCCTACAGGAGCTTAGCATGGATGACTGTGTTGGTATTTATTAACTGAGGTCTTCCAAGTTTTCTTGTGTAAATTTAATGGGCCGTGGTGTAGAGTGATATTGAATAACACCTGTTTTGTAGTAACTAAAACCCCTCAAGCTCCATTGTGGTTAATCCGTTTCTCCAGCCTAGCACACCAGTTAGTCAAACTATGTGTGTATTCACAAATCATTAAAAAGTGTATGTAAGCCCTAACAATGAGCTTCTTTTATTTGCTACATTGCAGATATGTCACCCACTTTGTGAGTAGACGGGATGGTTCATAAAATGAAAGACGTTCCTAGGAATTCATAATTCATAGATTCTCTTTAGAAGCCAGTGGTGTGATGTGCACATGTAGTGCTACCCCCAAAGGAATCACTGTAAATGAACTTGCTCCTTCCCTGACTTTAGTGCAGAGGCAGCCAGGTACACAGTGTTTTCTCTCTCTGGCTCAATAAATAATCTAGGCAACATCTTTTATGCTTTTTATTGCTTGTAAAAACTTGCATGGGGTGAAGGGAAGCATGGAGTACTCCAAAAGCACTGAATAACCAGAAGACTCTTCTCCTACCAGGCCTCAGACTATTTATGGGTTCTCCAGCCACCTACTGGGCACACATCCCCAGGGATTGGTTGTACCCAGGGGCGGACTGATAACTCATGGGGCCCCCGGGCAATAGGGGATCATGGGGCCCCTGTGTTCTTGCCCAAACTCAAAAAAGCCTATGAAAAAGGTACCAGGGGCATCTTATGGGGCCCCCTACTGCCCCCGGGCCCTCGGGCAGTGCCCTAGTTTCCAAATGGTCAGTCCGCCCCTGGTTGTACCCCCAATAAATATTCAAATTGGCCTTCTGCCTTTCCTCTCACTGTGATTTTAGAATCCTGTAGAATGCATGGAGAAATAGTTGAACCAGCAGCCCATAAAGCAGGCTAAAAATATCAACAACTGCTCCACTGACTACAGAGGAGCCAGACTAAATTTACCTAGCATCTTTTACTCTAAGAAGGTGCTACACACATGTTAGTTAGGTGTATATATATCTGTAGCAATTTTCTTACAAGGAGTTTTATAGGAGAAGTTGGGAAAGTTATGTAAATGGAAGAAGTATTAGTTCCTGAGAAACCTAAAGACAAAATTTGTTGCAGAATAGTCTCAAAGATGTGACATAATAATTACACCCGTGACACAATCAACAATCTATTCTAAAATGGAAGAGGTTTTTTTCCCTTCACTTACACCGATATGACAGTATTGCAGTGCCATACAGGTAAAAGTGCCAAACTACTGAAATTTGCCACATGCATTGGTACTAACAGTAAAAATAATTTTTTTTTCATGAATTCGGTGCAAGGCTTGTGACTACATATTCATGGCCACAATTTTTTATGGACTTGGTGTTTGGACTGGTTCTAAATCTCTAAGATGGGGCAAGTTATGATTAAAGGTTACAATTATTATTATTATTATTATTATTATTATTATACAGGATTTATATAGCTCCAACAGTTTTCTCAGTGCTTTACAATATAAAGGGAGACAATACAGCAATGATACCGTTCAATACAAGAGGGATATGAGGGCTCTGCTCTTTGGAGCTTACAATCTAAGAGGGAGGGGCTGGTGGTACAAAAGGTAATAACTGTGGGGGATGGACTGGTAGGAGGAATAGAAGATTCTGTTATTAGCTGAAAGCAGGATAGGCTTCCCTGAAGAGATAGGTTTTCAGAGATCGCCTAAAAGTGGGCAGAGTAGGCGATAGTCTGATAAATTGGGGTAGAGAGTTCCAGAGGATGGGGAGGCTCTGGAGAAGTCCAGGAGGCGAGCATGGGAGGAGGACACAAGGGAGCTAGAGAGCAGGAGGTCATGCGAGGAGCGGATAGGACTGTTTGGGTGATATTTGGAGACAGTTGAACCTTGATTTAAACTGTATGTAAACTGTATGTAAACCTTAACAATGAACTTCTGTTATTTGATCCCATTTGTCTGTTAAATATACAGTTAGAAGAGTTTTGTTATATTGGTTCGATAAGAGCAAAAATATCTGTTAATCCTTCTGAAACACTTGTGAGCTTAGCCGCAATTATCAGTTAAAGTAGCAAAAAATGCAATAGTTATGAAGAGGGTAAAATCTTCCGGAGCTGAAGTTGTTAATCCAGTTCACTTTTGTTTCTATTGTTTACTTTTATCCTTTTTTTTTTGTGCATATTTTTTTTACTGATCGACGTGTCATGTGGCTCAGGGGATTAGGACCAAACCAGGAGCAAAGGAATTGTTGTTGACATTTGATTCTGTTGTTGATATTGATGCTGTTGCCATTTTGCTATATAAAGGCAAGTGAGTAAGATCCAAGAAGGTTTTGGCTCCAAGAAAGAGGGTATAGGCCTCGAAACGCGTAAGTCATTAGGATTTTTCTATATAAAGGCAAGTGAGAAAGATCCAAGAAGGTTTGGCTCTGAGAAAGAGGGTATGGCCCTCGAAATGCATAAGTCATTAGGATTTTTCTATATAAAAGGAAAGTGAGAAAGATCCAAGAAGGTTTTGGCTCAGAGAAAGAGGGCACAACCCTTGAAATGCGTAAGCCATTAGAATTTTTCTATATAAAGGTAAGTGAGAAAGATCCAAGAAGGGTTTGGCTCCGAGAAAGAGGGTACGGCCCTCGAAATGTGTAAGCCATTAGAATTTTTCTATATAAAGGCAAGTCAGAAAGATCCAAGAAGTTTTGGCTCTGAGAAAGAGGGTATGACCCTCGAAACGTGTAAGCCATTAGGTTTTTTTCTATATAAAGGAAAGTATATAAAAGGAAAGTGAGAAAGATCCAAGGAAAGGTTTGGCTCTGAGAAATAGGGTACAGCCCTCGATACGTGTAAGCCATTAGATTTTTTCTATATAAAAAGGCAAGTGAGAAAGATCCAAGAAGGTTTGGCTCTGAGAAAGTTGGTACGGCCCTCGAAACGCGTAAGACATTAGGATCTTTTCTATATAAAGGAAAAGTCCAAGAAAGATCCAAGGAGGTTTGGCTCTGAGAAAGAGGGTACAGCCCTCGAAACGTGTAAGCCATTAGATTTTTTCTATATAAAGGAAAGTGAGAAAGATCCAAGAAGGTTTGGCTCTGAGAAAGATGGTACGTCCCCCGAAACGTGTAAGCCATTAGGATTTTTCTATATAAAGGAAAGTGAGAAAGATCCAAGGAGGTTTCGCTCTGAGAAAGAGGGTACCCATAAACCATTAGGATCTTGAGTGATGCTCTCCCAAGCCTCTGGAGCAAGCAGAGTGGACAAACTGATTGTAACAATTTGATATGCTTTGCTAGTATGGATGTCTGTGAGTAGATTTTTTTATGTTTTTTTTTAAATAAATGGTTTTAGAGAGAATTCCGGAGAGGGCAGCAAGGAGCGGTGTGTTCATATCTCCCCTTCTATAACGGATGTGCTATAAACTCTGCCATCGGACCACCAAACTCGTACAGGAGGTGTTATGTGTCACAATGTCGAGAGTCCCAGAAACAGTTAGACAATCATGCTTTAATATAGTGTGTAGTGGTATCATCCTAACATATTTCAGGCACTAGGAGTTGGATGTTTAGGCAGGATTAGTGTAAAAGTGTGCACAAAGTGGAGCTCACCAGTGGGGTGACATTTATTAGTTCAGTGAATAGACTGGAGGTAGGGAAGGTACTTGGAAGCTACAGAACTGTGCATTGTAAATAGTCATGTCATCCTTCTGGCTATACAGTGAGACATTCTTGTAGAGGTTGTACAGTTATACATCTCTTGGCAGGTGTTAGAATTTATATATATATATATGTATTTCAGCTGTGGATTTAGATGCTTGGATGATCTATGTGTCATCACTATGCAGCCTATTGCTATCATAGCTGCAGTAATAAACACAATGACAGATAACAGTTCTTCCTATGGATTTACTACACAGGATGTCAGCTATATCTTTGAATAGATCACTGCACGTTATATTATTGTTTTTTCATTAGCTGCTGAAACTTGTACTGAGTGAATGATAATGAAACGCTTTAGGTAAACTAGTTAATGATCATTCAGTAAATTTACGTTAGGAGCCTTTAAAACATTTTTGTGTTAAATTCAGCATCTTAAGTCAATGTAAGGGCAGCACAGTGGCTAAATGGTTAGCACTTCCGCGTGGCAGTACTGGGGTCGTTGGTTCGAATCCCAGCCATTGCACCTCCTGCCTAGAGTTTGCATGTTCTCCATGTGCCTGCGTGGGTTTCCTCTGGGTACTCCGGTTTCCTTCCGCACTCCAAAGACATGCTGATAGGTTAATTGGATCCTGTCTAAAATTGGCCCTAGTATGTGAATGTGAGTTAGGGACCATAGATTGTACACCCCTTGAGGGTTAGGGACTGATGTGAATGTACAATATATATGTAAATTGCTGCATAAATTGACGGCGCAATATAAGTATCTGTAATAAATAAATAAGGGGTAGTTCTCTCTGACGTGTGATCTGTGATAGGTCACTTTTCAGAGACATTTGACATATCATCTCCTCTGCCTGTTTTAACCCTAAAAAATGTTAACTGCTTGCAGGTCAGTTGGTGGCCCGGCTCCATTCACTTGAATGGGTCACATTTGGTGGCGGTACTGCCCACTGAATGCAGCATGACAATCAAAGGGTTTGTTCACACTTGACTAAATTTCTAACTCCTCAAAAATGCCCCTATAACATTAGACAGGCGTTAATGAGCTTTAGTATGGGCGTTCTACAAGCGTTAAAAATGCTCCACAAACGCTCCATGGGTGGTTTTGAGGCGTTTTTATAGACGTTTTACAAGCGTTAAAACCGCACTACAAACGCCTATAATAAACTCTAATGGTATTAATGCCCCGTAAATGCCTCACAAACACCTGCCAAGTGTTTGAGGAGCATCACCATAGACTTGATTGGGAGGCGTTGAAAGGCTTCAACTCGCCCTGACTCGACATGAGGTTTCAATTTTAAAGCGACGCACCGCTAACTCTTTGTGTTTTACTAATGTGAACAGCACTGCGTGCTGCCATAGTATTGTTTCCATAGGCATTTGGGGAGCATTAAAAACGCCCCTCATACACCTGCTTTCAAAGCTATTGCGAACTAAGCCAAAAGGCAAAGCACCCATGGCTATGGTACGATGTCAGCCAGTGGCGGAACTACCAGGGTCACAAAGGTTGCACTTGTGACTGGGCCCTGGGGGTACACCACTGGGCTCAGAGGTAAGGGCCCTGTCCAGGCGTTGGGGGGGCTTCATGGTTTCTTGCACTGGGGCCCTGAATGTTCTAATTATACCACTGTGTACAGCCCTGAAAAGTTCTATGAATTTGTTCAGGTGGTTGGGGGCAGGAAAACTGTGGCTTAACTACCTGTTTTTACTGCCTCCCCTGGCTGTGCGGACTTTAGGTTAGCCATACATGTATAGATTTTTGTCTGTCAGTCTGCGGGCTGAAAGAGAGAAATCGAATAGCTTCCTTCATCCATGCTATTTAGCATTCTGGCTATTGACAGCTGGCACCTGTGGCTTTCTGAATACCCCAGCATTGGCTGCATCTGATAGGATGCAGTGGCTGTTCAGCCAACAGTTTTTCATGTGGCTCATTTTATTTTTTTCGGTTGAAGTTTGTCAAGCCTTGTGGTGCTAAAAGGGCCACCCGCAGCTGTAATATGGCAGGCTTAAGATATTGTTATCCCTGCAGTCACTGGCTGTGTGCACAATGGTGCTATTGTATCACATGTATTGACTTTAGCATATCTAGAGCGATAATGTTATCCGCCCTGTCAAGGTTCGTTCCTACCCCCCCCCCCCCCCCCCCCATGGCTCTGCTCCCAGAACTGCTACTATGTCCTTGGTATTGTATATAAAGCTGATCATACATGAGTTCTCTCTTTCAGCTCAGCAGGTTGAAAAAGACATGTCTCCTTCTTGACTCCAGCATCCATGCTATATGCT